TGGGCGATGGGCACCTGTCTTAAACACGCTCCTTCTGCTGAAGCAATAGCCAACTCTGTGTTGCCCCAGGGCCCCGGTACCTTTCCTGGGGAACTCTTCTTGTGGAATTTCCCTCTGGTGACCTTTATAGACTGCGGCAATGTGGCCTTGTTTGCCACATGCCCGGCACGTTGCTGTGCGGAACCTGCACTCTGAGTGTCTATGTCGGCCTCCACAGCCCGCACATCGAGTGAAGGGAACTGCCTTGTCGAATGGCCGTTGGCTCTTTCTGGTGGTTTCTGCAACCGATTGATCTCATTGTCCATGTCAGGGCCCTCGACTCTTTTGACATCCTCATGGTGGACGGTTTCTGGGCTGGGAGTATCTTTGGAGGGCTGTAAGGCTTTGAGGGCTCCCCTGGCGGCTTCTTTGGCCATAACTTCCTTCAGAGCGTCTTGGAACATCAAGGTCTTCTTTGCAAACAACTTCTGCTGAAGGTCCCTGTTTCTCAACCCCATACTAAACAGTCTCTCAGTCTCTCTTCAAGGTCTGTGAAATTGCAGAGTCAGGATGCCTGTTGTAGGGCGGCTATGAACTCGGCAGCAGACTCACCTGGTTGCTGCTCCCTTTGTTCGAATGCATGTCTCCAGGCAATAATGGAGAGCTTCGGCTCGAAATGTTCCTTGAGCATTTTTTTTAGCTCAGAGTAGGCGACCGACTCAAGCGTAACTGGAGCAACTAGGTTTTCGGCTATATCGAACGTCGCCTGGCCATGCACACACAGCAGCGTTGCGGCTTTTAAGCCATCTTTGCTAATTTGGTTAGCTCTCAGATAGTTCTCAACTCGAGAAATGTATGAACTCCACCTCTTGGGATGCGACATGTCAAATTCTGACAGTTTTCCGACCTTGGCCATGGTGAGTGTCACTGACATCTCAATGCCTTGTGTTGCTAAGGCTTCTGTGTTGGTCCTAGGGACTGGTCCCTCAGGACGTGGGCCTCCAGCATTGCTTGCTGGCAGGCAGAGGGGAGAACATGGTTCCTACTAGGGCACTAGGCCTGGTCTCACCCCTAGCAACTTCTGGCTCTCTTTCCCTTAGCAGCACATCCCACCTTTGTTGCCACTGTTATGTTTCAGGATCGGTGAGGCATTGACGAGGCAATGGGTGCAAACAACAACCCATTTATTAAGTTAACACAGAAGCAGCACTCACTGCCGCTTAACCTCTATTTATACAGATCACCGCTAGGCAGCGGCCAATAGAATTAAAGCAGTATTTCCTGCTTAAACACAAGCTAACAAGTATGTAGACAGATAGTCTGGAGTTTAAACAGATGCAGCCATTTGACCGTTTCCAACAGTTTCCAAGTAATTCACATCAATACATAACATTAACAACAATTTGCAAGTTGCAAAATGTGACTCTTATATACTGTATTCATCTATGAATGTAAATCATATTTGTTGTATAGTGACATGCACTGGCTTAGAAATGTTACTTTTGCATTCCCTCCAGTGGCTTCTTTGAGTTTTTTTCTTTTCTCTACAGATTTATCAGCTTAGTGACTTTGGCCTTTATACAATCTGCATGCCTGAACTGATTTAAACATAGCTGAAACTGTTCCTTTGCCTAAGTACTTCAATTTGCACTGAGCATCTGGATCTCTGTGGCTCACTGTCCAGTGTTATTTTATTACACAGTTTTTGTGCTTGTGATAGAATTTCTTTCCTTGTTCCTAAAGTCTAACTCTAATAGTTCATTTTTTGGAAGCATTTCTCCATTTTCAGTTACATAATGGATTGCTATTAAAGCTTATATCACATCATTCCCTGTGACCAGAATGAGTCTAGATCTGGAGAGTATACTGTAAGCGTATCTTTAACTATTAAACTGAGCATCTCTCATTTGACTACTGTATAGTGGAATCTTACAGAACGTCTCCTGGCTGGAGTGTTATTTTCTCTACTTTCCAAGTAAATGATAGATTAATACTAATTCAGTTCAGAGAACCTCTTTGTTGAATCAGATAGTGATGAATTTGCCTTGACATTCACTGTATCAAATGCTTTCTGGCACTTTTCTTGTACTGGGCTGAGGTGAGAGAAAGTTATGAGTTTTTACTCTATCTTTCCTAGGACAATAGATTCATTTTTAAAAAATAGCTATTGCAAATGGGAAACTTCATTCTTTTTTTTCTGGATTTATCTTCCTGATGATATGTTGTTAGTTATCTGTAGCAATGTACTGTCACTATATCTTTGTATAAATATATTGAAAGCACATTCAGGTTGTCTCAGATAAGTCTTGGTTGATAATAAATTACATTATTAGTGTAAAGTGTAAAGGGCATTCTCACTCAAGAAACAACGATCATAACTGCAAAGGGGAAAAATAAAATCATAGTTTGATAAAGTTGGGTTTAACTTGCAAGAACTTTGAAATCATTTTCTATTTATTACATATTAAGTTGCTTAACTAAATTCTTAATTATTTCTGCATTAAATATCCCAGAACTGTATACATTTTTTCAGGGAAGATCATATTGTTTGTGGAAATCCAGAGCTAAGGGACTGAATCTTTAGCACTTCATAACATACTGATCACAAAAGTAAAAGTAGGGTATACAGAGACAGCTACGGGTTTATTTTATATACCCTTTTTGTCTACAGTTTATCTCTTTATCTACGATAATCTGAGGTCACTGCCTTCTGTTTTTCTTTCCAAATATACAGGCACAGAGTGCATGTTGTTTGACTCCACTCTTAGTAGAATGTGTCATGTTTCAGCTTCCTTATGAGGTGTTTCTTGTAAAGAAATCTCATCTCTATTACAGTTCCAAAAGCTGATTCACTAATTATTGTTCAGGTCAGTTGTCTATTCTAGGAGATGATCACTTCACAAAACACTTCAACTTTCAACAAAGTTATTGGCACCAGTGACTGAAACAAATGGATGAAGATTTTTCATAAAGGAAAGAGAAAAATGTGACTCTCCTAAGCAACAATTTAAAGATTAGGGAAGAAAGCAGAAAACTTAGATAAAAGGTGTCAGGAAAATTCACCCTATGTCACTAAAGTTTTTGATGGACAAAAATCAGGGCAGGAGCAAAGAACCTGAAAAGCTACAATGACGGAAATATTAAAGCTCTTGGCAATAGAAAACAAGATTCTCACAAAGTGTCAGGTCCCCAAATCCTTCCTTGCATATTTACTCTTGTGCTTTTGTTTTGGGGTCTGCCATTCTGCTGGGGGGAGGGAATTTCACTTGGGATAATTTTCGCTTTCTACTTATCAGGGAGACGGTTACAGAGAAATGAAACTGGAGAAGATCTTGAGATGTGTGCCAACTGTGCCAGTTACCCGCACATCGTGCCACCTGTGGATTGGCTGGATTTCAAATGGACATTAGGACTTTGGTGGGAGGAGGAATACTGCTAATTTAACTATACCATTTAAGTGGGATTTTTCCCAGTTCTCACCTTGACTTCCCTACTGTCACTAACCCCTAATAAAAGTTTCCTTTTGAGACAATGCCTGTTTCAAGAGTTCTGCTTTCTTGGGTGGTTAGTGAGGTGGGTCCTTACACAAAGTTTTCTTTTATCAGATTTATTGAAAGAGAAAGGGTATTCCATTGCAGAAATCTCAACAACTGAATACTTTCACTTTATCATCTTGCTTTATCTATAATCATTTCTAAGTTTAGTAGAGCAGGTACTTTTCAATTTTCTTGCTAATACCCATTTGCTTGAGACGGAAGAGGGCTAATTGTCTTCCTGATATGATTTTTTTTGCAGATGTTCCAAGCTAACAAACTTTGGTAAACCACTATCCAGTTTCAACTTAGCTTTAATTAAATAGGAGAAGACACCCATTTTCACTGATTTTAGTATTCTGACAGTGAGAATGATTATTCAGTGGAACAACTTGCCTCCTGAAGTTGTGGGTGCTCTGTCTCTGGAGATTTTCAAGAAAAGATTGGATAACCATTTTCCCAGGATGGTATAAGGACTCCTTCCTTGGATAGAACTTTGGTCTGGAAGACCTCCATGGTCCCTTCCAGCATTATGATTTTATATTCTAAGTATATATATCATAAAGTGAAGCAATTCTACACTTTTAAGCCTGACCTTAATGCAAATCTTAAATTACCAGGGTTAAGAAAGGTTTCTTTTGTATTTTCTTCTTTTTTGTCTTTCCATGGTCATGATTTATTAATAATCTTTGCCTGTATAACAAACTATATCTACTTTATTTCTTAAACCCTTAATCATTTAAAAATAATTTGAAAGTAAAAATCAGAAATGTCATATAATAAAATGCCTGTACATTTATTTGTACCCTCATTGTTTCCCTGAAATAAATAGAAGTAAAAGATAAAATATGGGTGGGAGGATATTAACAACAATAACTGTGTAAGTAATAATCTTTCAACAACTAAATTAGCTTCTTCACAGGGTAAAAGAACTAAAGTAAAGATTCTCTCTCATCTTCACACAAGTAATTTTCTCATTGGAAAGCAATTTAATAAAGACAGAATTATTTCATCAAGCACTACAATACTTCCAATAAAGGAGAATATTTATAGCTCAGGGTTGAAATGAGGAGTTTTCTTGCAGACATTTCATTATCCAAACTAGGTAATATGCACTGATGATATTACTTAGTTTGGATAATGAAACCTCTACAAGAACACAACCAAGATTGAAGACCACCAAGGACCCTTCACTACAACAGTTATGCACTTAAGTGAGCTGGCATCATGCCCAAAGGCTGCTCTGTCATATAGATATGTTGTCCTCCAAAATTTTAAAACTCTGTTTACTGCAGTTTAAAGTAACCAACAACTCTTGAAATCAGGTTTAAGATTAACCTGTTCTAGATTCTTGAAGTCACTGTTTAATACAAAAAAGTTTAGCTTTTTAAAAGAAAAACAGACACCTTTGTGAATTGCTAAAACACCAATAAAAAGAAAAGCGACTGTGATCTAAAACAAAAATATATACTTAAAACCTCTAATTACCTGTAACAGTTAATTCTGTGGTTCTTCTGACAGAAAAGAGGCCATACTTTAATTCACAAGTGTAATTTCCAATGTCATCTTCTGTGACCTCCCGGATAACAAGAGTATCCTTTTTGAACAAAATGCTTGGTCTCCAGGTTGTGACTTGGCATTCCTGTGCAAAGATAATTACAGTATTTTAGTAAGTATAGCCCTTGTATTTTTATTTGACACATCAGTTTCATTCAAAACCTGTAATCTTAAAAGCTTTTTTTAAAAAAGTCTCAAAACAGTACAAAGTTCATTGCATTGCTTGACAGGAAACCTTTTTAGATCATATTTAGAACCTTTGGAATACTTTTTCCTCAAACACATTTAGAAGAAAAATATATCCATCCACATAAGGACTTATTCCTCTTTCTTTTTCTTCAATTCTCAACAACCATATTGATGAACTTTAAAACAAACTTTTCTCCCCTGGAATCATATCCTTATAACACTGAAATAGAAATAGAAAAACTGCTTCATGGAAATGTAATAATTGCTTCACATATCCTTGTGGAGAAAACACTCTTTCTCCTACTGGTAGACCCTTAATTCTGTGAAACACACAGGTATTTTAAAATATCTTTGAGAAGAATATTTTTCATCGATGGAATGGGGTGATATGGGTGCACTCAAATCCTTTGTCTTTTATTACACAAACATTTCTGTAGAGGCTTCCTCTCTCTGGCTTCTTACGTTGCCATAAATGCAAGGGAAAGATATTAAACTAGGGCTTCCCACCCCACAAAAGGATTAAATGGAACATCCAGGAATGCTTTAATGTGGTGAAAAAAAAATGTAACATGTCCGGAAAATATATTGTTATATATTATGTGCCATCTAGAGCAATAAAATAAACATAAATATCTCATCAATTAAAAAATGGGAAAAAAATAATCTCAGACATGTGAAGAATAATTAGGAAAAAAAGTTGGCCTCTTTTTCATGGGTACATGTTTCATAAATAATTAAGACGTCCTGTGACAAGAGGCAGTGCTCTGACCACTATGCTATTCAGCCACTATATTTGCTTTTGTACTACTATCTACTTGATCAGAGGTGTGGAGTGTTAAAAAAGGAATACATAAACCAATGATTGGGAAAGAAGGACCATGGAAGGTCCGGAAGGAAGGAAGAGGAAATGCAGGAAGCATAATCTATACTATAGCCATTTATAAAATAGTTATTGGCTGCTATATTGTTCTTAAATTGCTTAAGTTCCCATGGTTGATTCTTCCATGGCTGAGTCACTAGTTCTAATAGTGCTGTATCTGTTTGCATGATCCTTTTTTGGTGGCCCTTCTTGTGCTGCTGTTCTTCATATCTGCTTCTCAGGTTTTCTTATAGTCTGTCCTAGCCCTAATCCTAATCTTAATAGAAAGCATTTTTCTCTGGGTACTTTGTTTTAGTTTTATTAAGAGAATGATGCAAATTTACTTGTTTAAAATGATGTCATTGTTTCCTCTTCCATAGAAAATAGCTTTCTTTGGGTATGGCAATTGGATAAAAGTATATATTTAAAGAGGGTGACACATTCACGTTGTGGGTGCAACATTTTAGGGTTTTTTTTTAAAGTACAGTATTAAAAACTTTCTACAGGAGCCATTGCCTGAGATATTAGTTATTAAAATAGAATATCACTATGTGTCCACCCTTGCAACCTCACTTTTAAAACCTAAATTATGATTTATTTTATTCATATTTTATTTTTTTCATTTATGTATAGAACTGTCTTGTTAGTACTACACACTGAGGTTTTTAAAAACTATATCACTATGTATTATGAATGTGCCTATTATCTGTAATTGCCGAATAACAGAACTTGCCATATTTTGTAATATATAAAGAATGCAGCAGCTATGTATAAAATTGAAAATATAAACACAGAAATTTCATTTTCAGAAGCTAAAAAATGACCTACTGCATTTAGAAATTTGTCTGTCAAATATCACCTTGCTTCTGTTTTTTTTTTCATTTTTAAGTTAACTTTTTTTTAATTACACTTTTCAAAATCTGATGAAGCTGTGCATACTATCTATAATAAAAATTTAGATACTAGAAATGGAGCAAAACAAGACATGTAATATTTTGTTCAAGATTTTTAACATTTCTTACCTTATACCATAAGATTTCTGGCTCTCTATATGGTATTAAAAAATCTTGTATGTCGGGGCATGAAATTTCTTTGCTTTTGCTAAGTTCAGCCTTTTCTAAATATTTCATCTTTGAATTGTAGCACAGACCAGTATCATTTTCACCCACTGTCAGTGAAATGGAAACCTTCATACAGTAGGTTGAGTTTCTGCCATGGAACAAAATACAAATAATAAAAAAATGGTTAAAAACAGCATTAATTTCCCATTGTGCAGTAATGTTTTTTCAAGCACAACAAGAATCTTCATCAGTACACTAAAATGGGGGGGGGGGGGAGAGACATCTAATTTTCAATTCTTATTTAATTTAGAAGAATTAGTACATTTCATTTACTTTGCAAAAAATATTACACCTCGAAATTTTCTTAATTCTAATTATTTTCTAATTATGGCAAGACAAGTTCCTGCACGGAGAGAGTAAATTTATAAAGCCAGTTATTTACTAATCAGTATTAACATCTTAATGTTCCTCTGCTGATCAAAAACTACCACAACAAATCCTTATAGCTGAACTAATCAGTTTGTAGCAATATATTTTAACCCTCCCAAATTCCTAAAATTTTGCACCATAAACATGAAAGTTAATTCATCTATTCGTTACATTATTTTTTTTGAATGAATAATTGTAAGACATATTCCCTATAATATTTATTTATTTATTTAAATTTAACTACCACCCATCTCACTCTCAGAGTGACTCAATAACAGAGTGACTTGCTTAATATCAGCCAATGTAAATTGCAGCCATATAAATAAGACACATACTCTTTTATTATATTCCTGTACCTCTTTACTTTCAACCATTCTGCTGAAGTGACTTAAGTATACAGCACTTTCTGGTAATATAAATAAGAACACAGTCAAAACTTCCATGTTTTATGTTCTACGTGACCCTTTTCTCCTACTTATGCAGTTTCATTATATTCACAGAGAAACTGGAAAAGTGTGTCTCAGTTAGATGGTGCTGAAATCTTATGAATAGAAATGCATATGGGAAATATTTTGTTTCAGATTTGTTTTGTTTTGCCTGGGTGGTTTAAGAAAGCATATGAGTCTTTTTGCTGAACCAGCATCCAATCTGTTTGGATGTTTCTAAGCATGAATACACATAAAGTGCATTTATATTCTCTCATACATGATCTGTTGAGATAGTTTGTAATTTGTATGTTTGGTTCATCAAGAAAGACAATACAATGATATTTACAATTTGTGAAATAAATAGAAAATGTAAGTGAAAAAGGATCACTATATCTTGATTTTAGGGGATAAGGAAATGTCTATAAAGGAAATGATACAGTAGCATTTGTACTTATCAACAATATCTGGAGATAATAGCCCTCCCTCTTCCCCCCCTTTGAGAATAGGCAATGTCAAACAACACTGAAATCGTGAAAATCTTTCTTTTTGTAACAACCTTCAAATGTGCCTTATTTCCTATCTGTATATGCTCTGTGGAGTCCTACCATGAACTGGTGTGATCTCTTTTGGTTTGTTGTAGAAAAATGAATGTTAGAGGATCAAACTATTTAGAGGCAAACTATCTAAGCTGAGAATCTGCTATTCCTGTATGTGTGGTTGTCACTGTCATTTTACGCTATCAGAGGAAATCATTTATTATATGTCTTATGGGAATTGGTTAAGCAGGAGGGAATAAAATACTGAAATGTATTTATTTCTATGAAACCAATTGTCCATTCTGCTTGGGTGTATTGAATATTGTAGAATGAATTTAATTTGCTGATAGATTTACAGAGTATATGATTTGTGTCAGATAAAAATCATGCTTTCTCTTCCACTTGCATTGGGGTAAGCTTCTGATGTTCACTATAGGTAGTCCTCCATTTACAAAAGTTCTTTTAATGACTGTTCAAAGTTACAACAACACTGAAAAAAGTGACGTATGAATATTTTTCACACTTATGTCTATTGCAGCATCCCCATGGTCATGTGGTCAAAATTCAGACACTTAGCAATTGACTCATATTTATGATGGCTGCATTGCCTTGGGGTCATCAGCATCTGCAATTTTCTGACAAGCAAAGTCAACGGGGAAGCCAGATTCATTTAACAACCATGTTGTTAATTTAACAACTGCAGTGATTCATTAAGCAAATGTGGCAAGAAAGATCACAAAATGGAGCAAAACTCACTCAGCAAACGTCTCGCTTAGCAACAGAAATTTTGGGTTCAATTGTGGTCATAAATCAAGGATTTGTAGCCCACCCAAAGTCAAAATTAAAAAGAAGTTGGTTAGAAACATCTTAATATTTGAGATCTACTATTATACACAGTTGTAGTTGTAGACATATTAGGATATTAGCAAATTTAAATCCTTGTGGATATTTAAATATTGTCAACTGATGCAAATTTATCCTATCTAAAAATTTACATGCTTGAATTCACTTCATACCAAAGTAAATAGGTTTCTGGGGAAGAGTAAAAGATACATGTATTAATCTTCTTATTATTTTATCCAATTTTCTGAACAATATGGTTACAACATGTAGCGCTTAATAAATTAAGAATCATTATGAGCAATTTTCCTCCTGCTAATTGGAGGCTCTGATTCAAGTGGTTACAATCCAAATGGAAACTCCCTGTAGGTTTTTCATTGTGTACTAAAAATTGGTACAAACCTCACAGTCAGTGCCCTTTTCAATATTGTACTGTTACTAATGCAACAGAAGTTCATCCAACCCATGTTTATAAATTGAGGAAGAAACAATTAATATGGTAGAACCTCTATTCACTATCAATATAAATGTATAATAGGACAACTGTCTTAAATGCTAAGCTATGTTCCAATATTTATTGTTAACAGGGCTTTATCATAGGATACAAATTACAGGATAAAGTTACTGTTTAAAAATTTCAAATGTGTAATAAAAATACACTCAATATTAATATACGGAGGCAGGTCAGAAATCAAGTATGGACTATCTATGCTCAGAGATTAATTATACAATAATTATATTTGATTGAATTTATTTATTACACTGATAATGTAACACAATGGCTGAAATAAAAGATTTCAGGGAAAGGGAATTATTAAGACTTCTAAATGTATCACACAGGTATTTTTGCCCCACAGTATCCAGTTCTCTTAGAAGAAGAATAGCTTGATATTGTTGGCAACTCTATTTTGATGGCTTTTGAATTAGAATGCAGTCACAAGATACTGCTTCTATTGCTACTACTTTAGAACATCAACAGAGGCCAAGTTCTCACTGATGCCCCTGGCAAAAGAATTGGGAAGGGAAGAGAGCAGCAACTAATGAAAGAAGATTATAAAATGCTTTTCTCAAGAAAGATCACTTTGTGTCAGTGTCAGTGTCAATGTCAGTGTCTTTGTCATTAGGTAATATCTGAGTTTATTTCCCCCCAGTTTTTTTGCTGTTGTCATTTTCTGTTTTACCCAAATTGTTAATCATAATATTTTATATAACTGATTCTTGTTCTTAGCAATGCTTGCTCTGTATTGGAAGTGGTCACTTAACCAGCACTGCTTACTTTTCAATATGTTCTGTTCTTATAGCTTTTGATACTGTCCACTAATTTGCTTCCTCCCTGAGCTTAATTCACTTTTATTCAAGACAGAAAGTCTAGATTGGCATAAGTTCTCATTGATCTACACAAGCAATTAACTGATAGCATCTTACAATTGCACATTGGATCTTGTTAGATGCCCAACTTGCCACCTCCAAATGAAGGCTTATGGCTAGTCATAAAAGGTAATTTTAAAATGCAATTTTTCCCACAATCTGTAGATGATGGACTATTTTGTAATAGTCTTGTTGCTGCCACAATGGGCCCATCCTGACTCCTGTAAAATCTGAGACATCCCAAAACAAGCAGTGTCATGTCACTTTAAAGAGGTGAAAAACAAAGCATAGGAAACTATTTCCTTACTAAAAGGCACTGGGATAGGGTGTGGTTTGGGTCTGAAGAAGCCAAAGTGTTGTGGAACTGGATTTTTGTTAGCATTGTGTTTTGTTTTTACTACTTTTATGAGCCAGAATTGTGTCTATTATGGGCAACTGTATAAGAAAAATAAACAAACCAGTAAATCAACAAATCAGTAAATAGATAACACACTCAACATAGACACAAACAGACTACATTTATTCCTCCTTAACCACCACAACTGAGCTCAGAAATTTTGTTGTAAGTTATTGTGGTAATTAAGCAGGTCACTATGTGACCTGATTCATTTTATGACCACTTTTATGCCAGTCATAAAGCAGGTCAAAGTGGTCATTAAGTAAATCATGTGGTCATTAAACAAACCATGTGGTCATTAGGTGAATTTATTCTCCTGAATTAAAAAAAATTGAAACCAGAAAAAAATGCTATAAATTGTGGTCACTCGACACTGCAACCAAATTGCCAAGCACCCAAAATGTATTCACATGACTGTGTGTTTGTGTGTCTAGAGGGAAAATCATAATTCAAGGATGGGATAGGAGTATCTTTTTTGGAGTCCATTGTAATTTTGAATGATCATTAAATAACCAGTCATTAAGCAAGGACTACCTGTAATCTTTCAACTGTAGACATATCATGATTTGAATTCACATGGACACTACTACAAATTGATTAAGATTAAAAAGAACAAAAGACATGTACAGATCTGTGTAAATCAAGATCTGTGTAAACCAAACAATAAATTTATATGAAAATTTTGAGGAATGTTATGCTATCAGTTTTGATTGGAGTTCTCTACATACATTTATATAGGAAAACTCAGAAGCAAGATAAGCTATGATAGCTAGATCTATCCTATATACAGTATGTGTCTACCAGGTATCAATAAGACATTTATATTATCTTTAAAATGGGAAATACTTTAATTAATCACAGTTCATGTTTGTATAATAGTATATAGACATTACCCAGTTCACATATTTACAAAACAACTCAAAAACAAATTGTGTATTTGTTATTCTCTCTTTAAATTTTATAGGCCAAAACAGCAATCTTGTAGCATGTTATGAGATAGTAAATACACTGTTTCATCAAGTTTGGGTTGACATAAACTATTTTGTCAAATCCATGTATGGACAGTTCATTACTAAATATATTAAAAATAAAAGATAAAATAAT